AGAGGCCATTGCCATCAGAGAACACCATTGCCATGAAGGAGTGTACATGGTCTGCAACATTCTGTAGGTAAGTGGAACATGTCAAACTGGAATTCACATGAATGCCAGGACCCGAGTGTAATGGATCCCAGTACTCCAGCTGAGTACATCCATGAAGAATCTCCTAAGTCTCAAGCGCTGTAGTGATTGTAAGTGTGAATATAGCTCCCAATCCCACAAACATGACCCTAGACTTCATGAAGGGGTAAGATGATTTCTTTAATCCAGGCTCAATGGCCTGCAGTTATACATTTCAGAGTCACAGCGAACACACCCAGGACACTCCCACACAAAACAGGGTAATCCCTCCCTGTGCCTCAGAGATAACTAAGTCAGGAACTGTACAAACTCAATTATCTCCAGGCACGGAAAACACACAATTTATAAAACACCCCAAAATACACATAAAATACATGAAAACCCCACAAAAGTTACATCCCCTGATAGCCCCGATCTGGGTGACCAACATATCCAAAAATCACCCAGATCGGTTCAGAGGCCCATTCCCCCATGGTGGGGAACACAAATAACTAAAATGGGGGGGACATAGTGCCCCCCCCACACCTATTAATATAAACAGAGGTACCTAATGCCCCCCCCCCTGTTCCCCACCAATGAGCGGCGGGTGGTGACCCTAAATAAATAAATAATGGGGGCAACCTAATGTCCCCCCCAGGTCTCCACCCATGAGTGGTGGGGACTCTAATTAATTAAAGGGGGACCTAATGTCCCCCCCAGGTCTTCACCCATGAGCGACGGGTGGGGACTCTAATTAAATAAATAATGGGGTGGACCTAGTGTCCCCCCTGGTCCCCACTCATGAGCTGTGGATGGGGACCCTAAATAAATAAATAATGGGGAAGAAAGAAAATAAAAGACGAAAGAAAACATCTAATGGTAAGTATAAAATTTTATTTTACAGGGTTAGTTTATTGCCCCCCCCCCTCACTATTATTAGGGTCTGGGTGGTAGGTAGGGTATTTTTATTGGGGAGGAGGGACTTTTTTCCCATAGTTCATCCTGCTGCCATCTCTTCGCCAGTTAAATGATGCACATATACCTGATTGTCCACGTGATCTATAGGAAAATGTGATTCATCAGAACAGGCAAACTTTTTCCATTGCTCTATGGTCCATGGTGCTCACGTCCCATTTGAAGGCACTTTTGGGGTTGTAAAGGGGTCAGCTGCAATGCACTTTATGTTCTAACACCTTTCTATCATGCCTGCAAACATTTTTAAGCAACTAGAGCAACAGTAGCTCTTCTATGTGATCAGACCATACGGGCTAGCCTTTGCTCCCCATGTGCATCACTAGGCATTGGGCTCCCTTGACCCTGACACAGTTTCACCTCTTGCACTTCCTTGCACCACTTCTGGTAGGTACTAACCACTGCATATTGTCATAATTATTCAGATCTTTTCGCTTGTCCATTTGCCTTGCTTCCAGCACATGAAATTTGAGAACTGACTGTTCACATGCTGCCTAATATATCCCATCCTTGGACAGGTGCCATTGTAACAATATAATCAATGCTATTCACTTCAATTGTCAGTGGTTTTAATCCTGTGGCTGATCAGTGTATCTTATAGTGTAGCTCAGGCATAGGCAACCAACCTGCGGCACTCCAGATGTTTTGGACTACACCTCCCATGATGCTTTGCTAGCATTGTGGGTGTACAAGCATTATGGGGGATGTAGTCCACAACATCTGGAGGTTGCCTACCCGTGGTGTAGCTGATCTTATAAAGGTAAAAGTGATGATGTATTGAGTGAATTTGTGATTGCTATGGCAATTGGTGCTAATGGCTCAATAGCATGAGATTATAATTCCTCTATAGGTGTTCTTCTACCAGTTATTTTAAACAAAATTAAATGTTGATAACATAAGATCTAGAAACTAAAGTTCCAGCTACTTTACTTACAGCAAAGCTATTGAATTTAGATTTAAGTTCAACATTTTACTGGTCTAAGCACAATCATTCATATTTTCATGAAGATCAATATCTGCAAATTGTATCACCCTCCGCAATTCTATTTTTTCAATATACAGATTCACATAAATATTTACTATGTGTCAAATAAAAAAAAAACTATTCCTTTTAATTACAAGACTGCTGCAGCAATTTATCATGCAGTAAATAATCTCGTTAACATTTCACTGTGTGTGCTAAGTTAAAACGCATGGTGAAAAATTAAGTCCCCTTGGGTCAAAGTTTTTATTACAAATTCTTGATCCGCTCCTTAGAAATCAGATAGAGATGCTACTTGCAAAGTGGTAGAATTGAAATTACAAGGATGTCTGCAAATGCCTAGCAATTATTCAGACTAAGGTCTACAGGGAACTCAAAGGAAAGTAAAGAAAGAGGGCATAGAAATGTAACATTCATTGAGGATGAACATAAAAAATCAGAGTGCAAAGGTGGTTCAAATTAACTTTTTTTTGTATCATTTTCAAGAAAAGTCTTTACATTTCTAAGTATCTGATAATACTTAAAAAATATAAAGCATTCTACAAATATTGCTTGTAAAGACTGAAATAATCAGGGGAATGTCATACATATGACATCAAAATGATATGAGATGATTGAATAACAAACTTGTGTGTCTTTTGGCCTAGCATTTAGGCAGTTGAGAAAAATGCATTATGAAGATTGAGGGACTGACTGTGGTAAAAGTATAGCAAAAATTTAGAAAATAGTGATATAAAAAATTAGAAAAACACTTGTGTAAACTGTTACCATGCATGTTATGAACACAAATTACAATCAAAGAGAGCAATAACCTAAACAAGTAACTGTAGAGTTAAGTGATAATTATAAGTTACAGCATACAGGTATATAAATATAAAGGGTCTTATGTCTTACTGCATAAAAATCTTCGGAGATCTCTTAAGTTACTCTATGGAAACATGGAGTGCTAACACGTCATGGGGATTGTTTATGGAACTAAAGTGCATTTGCAAAAGATCTGGTTTGTCAGCACATATTTGAAAGGCTGTGATGTAACAAGTTTATATTTTCTACATTGATTTTCCTGGCAGAATCGAGGGTCACCAAAACCTCTTATTTACCAGGAATGGCCTCATACTAAGGAGGTAATAAAGTAATGTGACAACCATTATATTACTTTAAAAGAATCCCAAATGAATAAGATGGCGTAGGTTCACTTTAAAAAGTTCAATAAATATTTAAATATTGAAGTGTCACTACTCTCTGCACGCAGCAACCACACAAAACCCTGGTAAAAGGGTTCAAACAACAAAATATATATAAATGGGTGCACAAACAATTATTCAATTAAAAATGTGATATTCCACAAAGCCTTGTGAAAAAGTGTTTTCATGCAAATCTATATTTCAAAGTGCACAAGTGACAATAATATTCTCAATATTAACTAGGTAACATTAATTGATTAATTAGTTAACATCAATTTAAACTGAAATCACTACGAAGGTGTAAAATTGATTTTCATAAGAGCTTACACAGATGATATAAGCATGCACAATATCCTCATGTAGTCTCAAAAGTATCTAAGAATAAAAAAAACATAAAAACCATCCTAGTGCAACATTGTAAAATAAAGCAAAAAGAAACTTAAAAATCCAAAGTGAGGGGGCGGAGCTGAACGCCGTGGAAAATGGCCGCTTAACTGCCCAGCTCCTTCCACGGGCGGACATAACAACAGCCCTAACTCGACACCATCGGCACCAAACCCGACACAACGATCGAGACAATCATTCTCCATCATGTCCCACCACAAAACAAAGCAAAAACCGGACAAAACAGCGTTCTTCGGGCCAAACAGTTACGATAAAACCTTCAGCTCAATCTTAACCCCTCACCTCCAATCCATCTTCAATGACGCAATCCACCACGCACAATTGCCCCAAGAAATTTTGAGAGCTACCATTATAACCCTACCTAAACCAGGTAAAGCCCCAGACAGATGTAAAAATTTCCGCCCTATTTCCCTCTTAAATTCAGACGCCAAATTGTTCGCTAAGATCTTGGCAAACAGGATGGCAGTGGCCCTGACAGCTCTCGTACACCCGGACCAGTCGGGATTTGTGAAAGGTAGGCAGGGCACTGACAACACCAGACGAGTAATGGATATATTGGAATCAATGAGACGGAGGGGCGAGAGGGGTCTCCTGCTTTCGTTGGATGCTGAGAAAGCTTTCGATCGGCTGAGCTGGAATTATATGGAGGCCACATTGGAAAGATACGGGTTTCCGGCCCAGTTTGTGGCAGCGGTAAGAGCATTATACAGCCATCCAACTGCGCAAGTGTTATGTCAGAAGGATTCTCCATCACTAATGGTACACGCCAAGGGTGCCCCCTCTCTCCCCTCCTTTATGTCCTAGCACTCGAACCACTGGCAACCCAAATTAGATCAAGGAGGGATATTGGGGGAGTACAGATAGGTACGACCGAGCACAAACTTAGTCTGTTTGCAGACGACGTGCTGCTAACCATTACAGAACCAGAGTCTTCTCTCCCAGTCCTTATGGATCTAATAGAAAAATATGGCAGAATCTCCTATTACAAGTTGAACAAGACTAAAATGCAGGCGCTGCCTATTAACCTAACCCAGGCACAGATACAAACATTAAAACAACAATTTGACCTAGACTGGAGGTCAGACCATGTCTCCTACCTATGGGTTGTAATCACAAAAAACTCCACCAAGCTCTTCAAAGCCAACTACACGAAAGTGGCCACAGCCATTAAAACACAAATGGAAAAGTGGAAGGGCAAATACATGTCCTGGCTGGGTCGAGCGGCAGCATTTCAGATGACACTACTCCCTAAACTCCAATTCCTATTCAGGTCCCTACCAATAGGCGTACCGAGGTCATTCTTTGCCACTCTGCAGAGGCAAGTGGACCCTTTCATAAATGGCCAACGTAAAGCTAGAATCCCCAAATCGACATCTTATACAAGACTCGAAAAGGGTGGGATGGGCTGCCCGGACATTCACGCATACTACAAAGCCACTATACTTATGCACGCAATAACCACACAGGATGGCAACAAAGGCCCTCTGTGGGCAGATATTGAATCTCACTGGTCCCTCCCTGAAGGGATTCACCTTCTTCTTTGGATTCCAAAGCCCTCTCGCCCTAAAGTTAGTAGCCTATTACCCATGACAGCGGTGATGCTAAAAATCTGGGACTATCATAAACATTCCTTCCTCTCCAGACTACCGATCTCCCTAGCCACGCCGCTCAGATGTTTTCATTATTTAGTTCCAACCTTCAACAGCAATAGCTGGGAAAGTCATGGCCTCACGCACCTACACCACCTATGGTCAGGAGACTCAATGTCCCAATTCGCGCAACTGTGCCTGAAACACGATATCCCTACAGGGTTGTACCTTTCTTACTTGCAAATTCAAGCGCGCACACGCCACACACAACTTAAACCCACAGGGAATGTAAACCAACACCACAACATGACACTCATTGAGAAAATGTGCACAGGCCAATTACCCAAAAGAAGATTAATATCATTATGTTATGACTCGTTGTTGTCAACCAACAAGACGTCTTTACCGTCTTATACATCTGCATGGGAAAGGGAGCTGGAATACACAATTCCAAAGGAAAAATGGCTTACAGCCTTTAGCGCACATAAATCCCTCACCCACTGTGTATCCCACATCGAACTGCTTAGAAAGATTTTAACGAGATGGTATCTGGTTCCTGCGAAATTAGCAAGAATATACAAAACCATAAAAGACACGTGTTGGAGGTGCGGAGAGAAAGGAGGCACCGTGACACATGTCTGGTGGAAATGCCCGGTCATACAACCCTATTGGGACATGGTAGCCACTTTGCTAATGGAAGTAGTGAACATACCCATACCTCGTTCCATTGAGACATTCGTACTGTTCATGTTACCCAAAACACTAACTCTTGCGCAAAGAACCTTAGTGTTCCACATCCTAATCTCAGCAAACCTGCTCACTGCTAGGAACTGGAAATCACCCACACTGCCTAGCTTGTTAGACATCACTACACTAGTCACTACCAATGGACAATATGAGAAAATGGCCCACACCAACTCCTTGAGACCTCACAAAAAGATGGAAGGTTGGGCCCTATCCAAGGGAGTATCAACTCTCTTTAGTAACCAACTATCTTTTTCCCTGCTCAGGAAAATAGGTGACACCCATGGTAGATACCTGATCATAGTGGCAAAAATCAATGAGCAAACATACACTATAGCCACAGTGGATATCCACTTAATCCAACATTCAATCCCACCATAGAGAGCCATGATCGGCTTACCGACTTCTTCTAAATCCATACACACACACTTCCAGACCCAGCGGGCCCCTTTTCGATATTTCACTCTCCACCCGATCCCATACCTTACTTGGAAAGACGTAAAGTAGGCCCAGTATCCAGATGTGTAATTTACACATTACTCATCAGGGACAAGTTGCACAGATAGGGGGATCCCAGACGTGTGTACCAGAGGAGACAGAATTCACTTCAATCACCCATACGCCTGGGAACTCACCCACACCTCAAATAGGCCACTATAACACATAGAAGGGGGACATAGACTTAGAGGGAACATCGGGAGCACCTTCTGTTAACGTGAATTTTCCATGTTGTGTTATTGTTAACTGTACCACTTCAAATCCTGCACTCCTTGTTGGTATTTCCATTAACTATTGTTATGTATACCAAAATCTTGACAATAAAATAAAAAAAAGTTAAAAAAAAAAAAAAAATCCAAAGTGAAATCCAGAGTGGTGAGTACCACTTCAAACTGTAGTGACCAGGATTAGTCAGGCCCATGACTATGTGGTCTGTACAGCTGGCAAACTACAGAAATGTCAATCTCCACTATTCATCTGTTAATTTACTGGGTCCATGCCTCTTTTTTTTATACAGTAGCAGCACCCACCAGCACTTTACCCCCACTTTGCATATGTACATATGCATTTTTTCAGAATTCATCCAACTGTGTTACAACATTATGTATTGTCCCTTCATAGAGAATACCATTGTATTTATAGACCCATGCATGAAAGGGTTGTTCGGGTGGCAAAATAATTTTCCCAAAATTGACTTTGCATTCAGGATGCCTGATGTTTGTACATGTGAAGGTTGTTTATGAATACATATTTGGGGAAACCTTATAGCAAGACAAAGAAGAGGAAAAAATACAACTATAAGTGTGCTGAAGTGCAAAAATTGCAAGCCTAATGGCTGGGCAATATCAGCCATTTTTGTAATGCCAATTCTGAGTTTTCAACTAGTCATGATTATGCTATTATATGTTTACTTAATAAAAATCAATAATGATGAGTACTGCAGGAGCAACTGCTGCAGGAGTCCTTTTAGGTTTAAAAAAAACCCTTAATTTTTGAAAAAATGAAAGGAAAAAGTCAGTGATAAACTAATGACTAACTCACCCCTTCACCGTGAAAAGAACAAGATCTGCACACAAATGACTTCCAGTTTAAAAAAAAATTAGTGAGTGTAGAAGAAAGGGAACATGCCACACTGTTAGAGTGACCAAAGTCAGCATTCCCTTAACTAATTTCATTTCAGCTAGCCCACACAAATTTTGTTTCCATATGTCCCTCTTAAGTTTCCATACTTAAGCAAGAGTATGGGAAGAGTAGTTAGGGTTGTCACCTTTCTTGGAAAAAAATACAGGACTTGCGAATTTGCATAACTAATTATGTATGTGTGACATCACATGATGTAAATCACAAGGAGTGACATAAGAGAAAATTTTGTAAAATCACCAAGAAACTACTTACAGTTTGATTCTGCTATATAGATGGATTGCTCCCAGTGTCTCCCATTCTCCCAGGTCTCCCAGTGTCCCCATGTCTCCCAGTGTCCCCATTTCACCCAGTTTCCCCTAGTGTCTGTGTTCCCATGTCTCCCAGTGTCCCCATGTCACTAGGGGACACTGGGAGACATGTGGACACTGAGAGACATGTGGACACTGGGAGACATGGGGACACTGAGACACTAGGGACACTAGGAGACATGGGCACACAGACACTAGGGACACTGAGACACTGAGAAACATGGGGACAATGAGACACCAGGGACACTGGTTGGGAGACATGGGGACACAGACACTTGGGGACATTGTTTCAAAGTCCCCATGTCTCCCAGTGTTCCCAAGTGTTTCAGTGTCCCCATGTGTGTCTGTGTCCCCAAGTGTCTGTGTCCCCATGTCTCCCAGCGTCCCCTAGTGTCTCAGTGTTCCCAGGTCTCAGTGTCACCTAGTGTCTCAGTGGTCCCCATGTATAAGTGTCCCTAAGTGTCCCCAGGTGTGTCTATGTACCCATTTCTCACTGTCACCATGTGTGTCTGTGTCCCCATGTCTCCAATTGTCCCCAAGTGTCTCAGCGTCTCAAGAGGTCTCCCTGTGTCCCTATGTCTCACAGTGTCCCCTAGTGTCTCAGTGTCTCCATGTCTCCCTGCAGCCTTTACCACATCCCTCACTTCCCTGAGCTGCAGGCTGTCTCTGCAGGCTGGGAGCTGCTGTCTGCTGTGTAGCTTTTCCCCCACGGATAAGTGTGCATAGAGAGATGCAGGTATATGCTGTAACTTCCGATCCCTGCCTCTCTCCACACACACAGCAACCCCTACTGACCGATGCTGGTATTGCAGAGTAATCTCTGTTTATACTGAAAAAAATACCGGCATTTGTATTGCCGGTATTACTGCAATATCGGCACCAGCGAGGCAGCCTCAAATAAATACCGGTCAGGTGGCAATAGGCCTATTCCATGGGCATTGACTTGGAGCTGCAGCTCCATCACCCCCTATGTTAATCCGGCCCTGAATGGCACTTTGGTGTTAAGTCCACCACTACACCACAGTACCACAATATTGGTGAGTACTATACTAACCTTAACATGGGAGATTTACATGCTAACTTGCAATACTTACAGCTTAAATGGCTTCAATAAACTCTTTAATTTATTTTATTCTGTGATCACCTCCAAATGGGAATCTATAGTGATCACCTCCAAATGGGCACCTATAGTCACAGCCCAATAGGAAGCTGGACTGGATTCTAAATCTACACAGAAGAAAATTTGAATTTAGGACACACCCAGAAGATGCATGTCTAAGCATTTACGGCAGCACAACTGCTTAGAAATGCATGTTCTGGTTTTAGTCGACTAAACCAGAACATGCAGTAGATTTTAGCCAACTAAATCTCCAGTATTTTTAGTCGACCCGACTAAAATCTAAAGGGTTTAGTTAAAGCTTCTATCTGTCTCTTATGTCCCTTCCCCGGGCCCTCTGTGTCTCTTTGTGTCCTACCAGCCTCACTAGGTGTCTCTCTCTCCCAAGCCCTGGTCTGTCTCTTTTCCCATTCCACAGCCCCTCTGGGCAGTGTTAATTTTGGCACCAAATTTCAATTCAGTTTTAGTCATAGTCATTTGACTAAAAAGCCATTTTAGTTTTAGTCATGTTTTAGTCATCCAAATTGTTTTAGTATTAGTCAACAAAATTTGTAAAATTTAAGTTGACTAAAATTTGACTAAAATTGATATTCAACGAAAATTTCCCTAAAATTGTTAGTCAACAAAATTAACACTGTGGTGGTGGTGGCAGCCTTGGCAGTGGAGTCAGCAGTCCTCATGACTGAGGAAGAAATGTTAAGACTCTGAGAGGTCATGCCGTTACTTCTTATGATAGATTGGTAAACACTACGGCTATCCTTCTTCAATTCCTTCTTGGAACGATGTTTTTTTTATTTTTATTTTTTTTATAATTCTTTATTTTGGTGAGCAACAAAAGAATAACATACAGGCTGGTAGAGCCACGAATGCCATGACATGTGAGACAATTGCACTTTTTTATGGGTTAAATAAATAAATGTAAGGCTTAATAAATTACAGGCTAGAGAACCAATGTTAGTAGAAGATTAGATGTGTTGCTGTGTTGGAGTGCAGGGGTATGATGCCTAAGATGTCATTGGATGAGTAAGAGCTTTTAGCCATAAAAACTGACAACCTAGTTATGGGAGAACTAGCTTAAAGAAATGAGAGGTTGGCTTTCAGTAGGGAAATGCTTTGAATATAACAGGTTTAGTGTCCTGCTGGTTAACACAAGTTCTAGCTTAAGAGACTGACATTTTGCTTCCTCTTTACGTGTGGGAGGGTATCGGCTAGACCACCTGTAAGCAGGGTCAAGCAAGAATCTGAGGACTAGATTTGGGTGATGCCTCCCTTCTCAACAGTGGTGTATGTCTAGTGTATTCAACTAGCGTAATTAAGTCCCCACAGGCATCCCCCCCATGGCCATGGCCACTCTCGATGACAGTCCCAGTATATCCCATAGATAGGCACGATCACCAAAAGTCCCATGAGTCCCATCAGGTGGCCCATCCTGTAGCCTTGAGCTTGATTGCTGGGGTTGCACTGCCTCCTGAAGGGGGACCGGTATCTCACCCACCGGTCCAAGGGGAGGTTTACAGGGCACGGGTGCATGCTTATCGGCGTGTCCCTGAAGCAGGGGATCGACCGCTTCCCCCATCCGGCACCCGCCTGGTCACTTTTCCCATGGAGATGGCTGGACAGGTACCTCGAGTCGCCAGCTTCCTTCCCACTTTGTAGGTAAGTCATGCAGCTTGGGTGTCGAGTATAGTAGCTCAGATCGAGCAGTGGTGGGCTGTAAAGTGCCTATTTTGGCATGTTGGTGGAGGAGCTCCTCCGAGATGCGTCCTGCCACCCTGGTGGTTTGGCCCCGCCCCGGTGGGTTTCTTTTTAATATAATTATAAACTATGCTGGGATATGAATGTGAATTGTATAAATCAACACAAATGTATTAAGCCCACATAGATGTTTGTATTAAAACATAAATTGTTGCTTGGTGGATTTAGTAATGCTGTTGTTATTTTCTTTGACTTGAACAATAACTGCACTGAACATTCATATATTTGCCAAGCATACACCTCAGCTCCCCAAAAATGATTTTCTTTCTACAAACAGTTAACAATAAGACCTATCATGGCCAATATTGGTGAATCAAAGTTGGTGTAGTTGGCACTGGCTAAGCACAACAAGAACTTCACCAATGGTCTTACACTAGCATCAATTAAACTATTAATTAATAGGATTTAACTAACTCCAACTCACAGTATGTCTAAATGGTATTGTGCTGCTAGCAGTAGCTAAGCAAAGAAATAACCTAACTAGTCCCACACTATGATCAACGCTCCAGGCTATTACTCACTCAAGTAAACAGCAAGTAAATCAGCGCTGAGTGACCAAT